TACTCTATTCTACGCATCCTGTATTGCTAAAGCCTCCAACAACATAGCTTCCTTGCATTCTGCAACGATTTTGACACACACTATCGCATGTTCGCATACATTCTTCTCAGAAACAAAATATTGTTATTCCGGAAGTGACGTCAAAAGCCAACTTGTTCCATTCTCCGCTATTTCTTGGTCATGAACATGGAAAAGGTCAAATTTACAAACTTTAAAAATTCATAGAAAATTAACGAAAATAGCTACAACAATAATTTTTTTGCAGTGGTGATCAGGAGAAAAAGGAAATTCATATTAGCAAAAAAAAATTTTCGGGTTAGTGGCACTTTAAAAATAGTAGTAAATACTATTCCTTTGTCTTTTCAAATTCCCATCGTGCAATACGACAGTATAACAAACATCATTAGCTTCTTTATTTGTTCAATAGGTCACACATAAGCAGCTGGGATTAAATAACATTCAAATAAAGTAATGAATGTCTATCTATTGGACATATTTAACCTACCCAGATGCTAATACATCTTGAGAAGGATTCCAAGAGCAAACAAACACCTGAAAAAATTGAAAGAAAAAAAGAATTATCACGATGCAAACATCAATGGCAATCAAAAGGCAAGGAGCTAGAACTCGCTATAACCTTGCACATTACTTCATTCAACAAAGTAAAGTTAGATGTATTGATTTAGAAAACAGCCCTAAGAAAATACGCATGCTGACTCAGGAGCGTCAATAAGAGCTGTAACCTGTAACAGCTTCTACGGCTGAGTATGTTTGATGTGCCCTTAATGCTATGTGTGAACTTGCTTAGAGTTGATACAATTCACTCAAAAAGGTAACAAGTTTGTTATGCGTGTGAAGATCAAGGCTACAAGTGACTCCAAACTTAATTACAGCCCTGCTGACTGGTAAAAAAATGTGTTCCTATAACTCCATAGAAACACAGAACTAGCATGGGCTGTTGACATAATGATGGCACGAGCAAAGATAACTTACATTTTTCAAAGTAAAAAAGCCGTTTCCTCTTTTTCATCAAATAATTCTCTACCAGAGATAAAAAATATGTTCTCTGCATTTCTGTTGGGTTATAAAAACACTCGTGGAAGTTTGGGAGAACTTGAAAGGAAACACTCACCTGTCAGCTCGTGTTTCCACAGCATTTCTTGCTCTGCCAAACTTCCACTCATGTTTCTATCAAACAATTAGATTATGAGCTCAAGATTTCTATCACGCATAGAAATCGAGAGCGAATAATCTAATTGTTTTAGTATAAATCTACTAGTCGTTCAAAACTATATCTAAATCCATTTCACAGACACTTCGAAAAGGCCAAGAAGCGGCTGTCATTTTGTTGACAAGTGCACACTGCCATGCTACTAAGTATCACAGAATAGGTAGTGAGTTGTGTAGCCAATCAGAGAACGGCATTCATGATAGAACGCTGGCAGATTTATACCAAAACTCGATAGAAGCATGGTACATGTTTTCTACTTCTTAAATAACAGTAAGTTCTACCTCAGATTCATGGCCCTTTAGGAGCAATGCTTTGTTGTTTCCAACATCATTTACTGTGCCATCAATATCCATGATTTCACCATGTCCCATGGAATTAACATGAGAGTAATGACCATCTTCAAGCTTAATGCTGATATCCGGCTTAATTGACCTGTTATGTAACAGTGTGTGTCTTGTAGCTACAATGTCCGGCAGGACAGCATCAATGAGGGACACATGGTCTAGTTCACTGCTTTCATCAAGTATTGTTCCATCCTATAAAGGTCAAATATTAAACAATTACTTCAAGTTCAAATTAATTATTTACATTCTAATCTTCAGTTTTCTAGACGACTGGCTGCCATGTACGGGGTGTTCAATGTTTAATCCAAGACTTCGTGAGAAGGTGATAGTATTGTTTTTCTGTTTGTGAGTCCAAGAAATTTGGCCTAGACTTCAAGTATTTTAAAATGTGAGCTTAGGATGTTCTGATTCTAAGATGCTCAGACGTCATTTAAGCCTATATTAAAGACAACAATCAAATTGGTACCTCAAGTTTCTTAGCCTTGAAAAAAATTGAGACTGCAAAGACAGCTTCATGAAAAAATCAAGACTGTGAGGCACACATAACTGCTAAAAAAATGAGACTGCAAGACCCGTGAAATTCGACAGACATATTGCGAGACCCATGGTTTTTGAAGGACCAGTCACCACATCTCATCTAGTTTGGGCAATCACCAGAGTTTGTCGTACCCTGTTTGGGACTTAAAAACAGTGGATACTACTGGGTGTGGCTAGAGGTAGAGGTGTGCCTGTTACCTGTAGTTGTTTTACCAGGGTGATTACCATGGTATCAAATCTTGCTCTAAGCTTAGGAAGTTCTAAATTAAAGTAGCCTTACATGGCATTGTTCCAGCTTTTACTCTCTGGTGACCCTTTTTAAAGGGGCAGCAAGTCTTATTTTCAGATGTTACTACCATTATATGATGAAAAACCGACACAGATAATGAAAATTTGTTGCTGCAAGAAAGCAGGGCTTGAAAAGAAGGTAGTCCAGTTGTCCAGGACAAGTAGATTTTGTTGCTGGGCAAGTAACTTTTCATTCTCACTTGCAATGGGCAAAGGTCCAGGCAAGTTGTCTGCCAACTAAACCTAAACAATAGCAAACCACGACTGGTCCAGGGCAAACAAAACTTGAGAGCTGCTTGTCTGAAGGGGGAGCCGAGATTCAAGTTTTTCTCTAGTCCATAAGAAGGTAGTCAAAAAAAAAAAACCAAACAATAATTTGGGGTTATTTTCACCACTATGCTCACCTCATTCAATGTTACCTCAGCCTCAACATACTGTACACCTTTCTGAATAATTGACACCAAAGCTCCCGGCGGGACAATGGACCCATTGATGTTTGATTGGTCTATGTGACTTTCTACGCCAAAGGTGAATGCAGAATGTTGAAATCCTATGGTACAATAAACAGTACAATGATGGAAATTCATAGGTAATTAATGTTGTTTACAACTTATTAGGACCATGTTAACACTATTTTCTTCATTATCAAAATTGTGGTGATTGTTTTCTGAATGTTCAATAATTTGTCACCAAACTTTGGATGTTTTATTGGTTTAATACATCTCTCCTTAACCGGATTACTGATTTTATGAAACTTAATGCACTTTTTAGTACATTTAAATTATTATTAAAAGTGATTATTAAAGTGACTGCAAATTGAATCAAACTTAACACAAAAATAATCTGGTTAGTATACCCAGGTTACTATAATTTCTTACTAACCAACTGCGAGGGCCATACTTAGAATACTGGCTCAAAGTTGTGGCAGCTGGGACTGATTGTAACAAGATCTGTACAAAAAGGAGCGAGGGGTTGAGCATGCTAGGGTAGTAAGTACAGACAGTAGAACCTCAATTTAATGAACCTCTATATAATGAAGTCCTCGGTATAATGAACGATATTCTTCAGCCTGATCAAGGTTACAGTAAAGTGCATGGAACAAAACCTCGATATAATGAAATCCTCGTTAGAATGAACACAATTGAAAAGCCCAAATGTTTAATATACCCCGATAGAACAAAGAAATGTCAACACATGACAAAAGATAAATACGAAACAGACCGACCAGGATGAAAATCCTTTAATCCTGTAACAACACATGAACTTCACAGTAACAGCCCACTAGAGATGCAGACACTGACACTATCGACACTACTACAAATATTATAAACTTCTTTATTTTTGAAGGCTTCCTGTAGTAAAAGTCAGTTGCAATTGTTAAAATTTTGTTGACCTGTTTAGCTTTCCGATGCCGTTGCTATGTGCAGATCTGTACAGTTTACTGTCGCTTCATAAGACATTAAAGCACAAATGTTATTTACAGTAATTGTTCAGATCCAGAAATGCTGGGATGCGCAATGTAACACCATCAAAAAAGACAAGTATTAACTATACCTCGATATAACGAACATTTTGGTTGTTTTTATGCAAAATCGTTGTACATATCGAGGTTTTCGATATAAAGAACCCTTAATATAACAAACCAATTTCCCCAGTCCCTTGGCACTTCATTAAATCGAGGTTCCACTGTAGCTTATAATATGGCAATCCGCCCACATTACAAATTTTGAATTTGCTGGCTTCCGAAAACAAAAATACATGGCTTATGACTGTTTCCATGGAAACAGTCAGTATGGCAAAATCTGGACCAAGATAGATCCAGTCGAAATGTTCTGATTTACCTCAAGACTACCTTGCCATATAAAATGCATTTTCTCCTGAGTATGTACATTAAAGAATTTGTCAATTCCACATCCCCCATAATATACCTTGTTTGCCCTCCAAAATTCTGCATAACCTTTGTTTCCCATTTCTCCTGGATATCACAGTCGTCCCAAGAGAAACTGAAGACAATGCTCATGCAAAATTTTGTGGGCAGACAAGGTGCGTTATGGGGGATGTGGAATGGCGAATGACAAGCTTTTGAGTAATATTTCACAGCTTAAAGTTGGTTTTGGCAAAATGATTTGTAGTAGAATTGACTTGTGTGGAAAATAACTGTAAAAAATAACAAATCGAGTGTTCTATAATGAGTTTCATTGTCTTAAGTTTTTCTCATTTCATTGTGTTGGATAGAAGTTTATTGTTATCTTGTTTGGTTTGTTTTGCTGGACTGAAAAGCAACCAGAATGAAAAATTACTAAGAGACAACACTGAAATCAATGAAATTGAAATCACAAAAGGCTACAAATTTCAGTCATAGCCAGAAAAAAAAAATGTTATTGTGAACCTTATTCTTTATAATTCTTGCATCATGCTCAATCTTCCTCTTGAGGTGTGAATAGCCCTAATTTCCTAGGGGTAATTTAAAATTAAAATTTTCTGATATAAACTACTTGAAATTATTATAATTTAATTAAGATCCCCATCACAGCCTACAACTTTTTGACTCAGAGCATCATGGCAACCAAGCAACTGTCCAATAACTGTGTACCTTTATACGATTTTACGGTATTGTTTGAATATTTGCACCTGGTTTGCAAAGAAAACATTGTGCGGAGTTATCAGAGAGATTTTGGTCTGTCTAAACATTGCTAGAATTCAATAAATGTAACTTTCAAAACCATTTTCATAATCTTGGGCGTAAAAGGCAGTAATCATTACAATTTTTTTTAAAATGTGGGTTAAGATTACGCTATGAAGCTTGTAAGTAATGACCCAAAAACTGAAAACGACAAACGGTGAAATTGCTAAAATTTGACTAAAATTTATGTTACAATTCGGGTGATTGATTGATGTAGACCACGATCTGTAAACTCACCTGATTCCTGAAGGTATCTGTACACTAGAAAGTTGACCTCATCGCTACTCATAGACATGATAAATAACACATAATCCAAAGCTTATGTTTCACTTCGTTCAGTCATTGATCGATCCACACACACGCGGGAGATTCAATAAAATATTGCGACCCACCAATGCAGAAACAGAACAATCAACGGGTTTCTAAACAATGCACAATTAAACTTCGATCACAAACATTCACATTTAAAATGCTGGAAAAGTCCTACGCTAATAACTTGTAAGAAAATTGCAAGCCGACTTGCAGCCTTCACTACTACGAGTCCGCCATGTTTATTGAGCGCGAAATGTCACGTGATCAAATGGCAGCGATTATTTGAACGGCCGTGACGTCATGGAGTGAAGAAAGAGTGTTCTTATTCTCAAAAAGAGAAATGCATTTTGTTCATTTTGATTTTTAGATGACATAAAAATAACTTGTTTAGAATTAATTTCGAAGAAGGAATTTCCTCATCCAAACTTAAATCTAAGCTTGAAAAGTTGCTGCACTGTGGAAATATTTATTCACCACCACTTCGAGAGAGGTATGGGCACGAAATTACCCTATAGCCTCGCTTCGATGTAAATTCGTCCTCTTTGCCATCCGTGGCCATATTGGTAAGAAAGATTTGTGATGTCTGTCGAAATCGGTTTTATGCTAGCCTTGAAATATACCATCGATTTCTTATTCAACTTAAAATGAAAAGAGCAATACCGTTCCTATCTATTACTGGGATTGTTTCCAACGATCTGTCATTCATCGGAGTGTAAATGGTCATATAATTTTACGGATGACCTAGACTAAGCATTGCATAGTAGAGTACAAGACGGTCCACCACTTTATTATAAACATGGACCCTAAAAGTTAACTAGAAATATAGTTAACTCTATTGTAGCGACTTCAGTTAAAGTATGCTTTCAATCAGTTAAAACTTTTTTAACAATATTTTGAATAAAATATAAGAAATAGAAGTATTTGTTGCACATGTTTAAAACTCGATTTGTACTTTTTCGTGCATTTAGTTAAGCTTTACTATAAAATTACAAAAACATGTTGTGGTAGTTTTGTCATGAAAAATTATATTTTTGACACTATATTAAGAAAAAATCGATTGCCATTCCCTGGCATGTGAAGAAATCTTATTTTGTTATATGAGAAGGCTGTCAACATGATGCACGTAAACTTTGAGTTAATAAATGAAGAACCCAAAACCAATTATTGTATAGTCATACTTAAGGATGGCCATTTCAGAACTCAAGAAAATTCCCTCTATATTACTTAAATGTTCTCAATAGGTTGTGTGGTACAAAAGCATAGCTTTATTACATGAACATAGGTTGTTGTTAACTTCACAGGTCATCCCCTGCAAAGTATTGAAACATGGTTCCTTTGTGTCATTACAGTGTGATAAAACCGTTTTGTTCAGTTTTTTAAGGGCACAATCAGTCAGTCTACAATCTGTATTTATTAGAGTGTTTATTTCATTGCAGTAAATATGGGTCGAGTCATTAGAGGCCAACGTAAGGGCGCTGGGAGTATCTTCAAGTCCCATACCAAACACAGAAAAGGAGCCGCCAAGCTCAGACCTCTGGACTACTCAGAACGCAATGGTTATTTGAAGGGGGTCGTTAAGGAGATCATCCATGACCCAGGACGTGGTGCTCCTTTGGCCATTGTCAGCTTTAGGGATCCATACCGGTACAAACTTAGGAAGGAGATCTTTATTGCTACGGAAGGCATGTACACAGGACAGTTTGTTTACTGTGGAAAGAAAGGTGAGTGACTTTTCTGTGTGTAAAGGGCTGTCATGCAACTTAGAAGATGCTTGCAAATTCAAGCATTTTTAAATGTGAAGATGGTGTTTTCTTGATCAGTTTGAAAGTTTAAATTAGCAGGCATCACATGGAAGTTACTTATCATCACAAAAGCCGGTTTTCAGCTACTAATGTTAACGGTGATATTTGACATGTGGGATGGCCAAAGGGGATATTATTTTTTGGCTGTTTTGGCAAGAGTTTGCTATTTGTTCCAATGGCAAAAGATTCCTTATTAGGTGTTCTAGGAAGCCAACCATGAAATTTTGGTTGTCCTAGAAATGCTCCTCAAGTTCAGGCAACAAGTAAACTTAATGTTGCTCTAACACAGGGTGTTTGACATCACTGGGCAATCTTAGAAAGCGTCCGTCTACTGCCCTTTTAGGAAACTAATGACTCTTAAAAAGAAAGATTAAAGAAAAGGAGTGGCTTATACAAGCTACCACCTAAGGCAGTGATACACAGCTCTCTATGGACTGATTTGTATCAGCCTGTTAGGCTCCTATTTACTATTGTTGACATGAATTTGTTTCATTCAGCCACCCTTCAGATAGGCAACTGTCTACCCATTGGTGTTATGCCAGAAGGAACCATTGTCTGCAATGTTGAAGAGAAAGCCGGTGATCGTGGCAAGCTTGCTCGCACTTCAGGCAACTATGCTACAGTGGTCTCACACAACCAGGAAACTAAAAGAACCCGAGTGAAGCTTCCCTCTGGGATCAAGAAAGTGTACCCCTCCACCAATCGTGCTATGGTAGGCATTGTTGCTGGTGGCGGTCGTATTGACAAGCCAATGCTCAAGGCAGGACGTGCCTACCACAAGTACAAGGCTAAGAGGAACTGCTGGCCACGTGTCCGTGGTGTGGCTATGAATGTAAGTAGATTGATATTACTGGCCAGTTTTCACTGCGATGTTTAAAGGGGCTAGGTCATGCTATTTTAGGTAATTTTGTTTAATTTTGTTAATTATGAGCTCTAAACGTCAAATTGGCAGAGCAAAAGTCTTTCATTTGCAAAATCACGACCACATAACAACTGAGAACGATTTTCCAGCTGTGTAAATGACATTTTGGTATAAACTGATATAAATTTGAAAAAAGGTGGGCAGATGTTTTTCAAATCTACCCTGATGCAATCCATTTTAATCCTCTCCAGTTTTGTCCATCCATGTCCGTTCCTCGCTTTCCTGTGTTTTGTTTGAGATCTTCTGTAGTTTTGAGCCGTTTTTGTGATATTTAGTTAATTCTGACTGTTTGATCAGTGCTGAAATTGCCTAAAATTGCATGACCTAGCCCCTTTAAACATTTCCACTTGTTATGTCAGTTTGCTCATTTTTTTCAGCTTGTCAGGCTAGATCAAATCAATAGGATTTTTATCCCTGCCATTGATTTGAATCAATGTATGTTATGTGAAGTATACAAAACAAAAAAACTGGCAGCATGTTAAAAACTAATTCTTGTCTTTAGGCTAAACAGCTTTTACAGGGTCAGTTTGAACTAGCCTGGTATAGTTACATGTAATTGTAAGTTACAGATGAACCTCAATTATCCGTACCTCAATGATCCTGATTTCTCAATTATCTGGACTTTTTCTTGAGTCCCAATTTTGTCATGAATATTTAGTTGTCATGAATATTTAGTAGTCATGATCAAGATCCATAGCAACATTCTTTTTAAAACTATAGCTATGAAAAGTGCAGTCAAAAGCGAGTTTGTTTCGCTTTTAAAGAGCAAAAGCAGCGCTCACATGTGTCGTAACAAATGAAAAGCTCTTAAATGAGTTCTGATTGGCTCAGAGTTAAGTGGTTCAAGATATACAGTAGACCATATTGTTTTCCAAACGATTTATTAAAGTGTTATTTTTATGATTAATTGTTGCTTTATTTAAACAGTTCTTCATTAATATTCACATTTTCCAGTATCCGGACCCTCGATTATTTGGACTATTTCGTCTAGTCCCAACGAGTCTGGATAATCAAGGTTCAACTGTATTGCTTTTGTTAACCACCCATGTTTTTCTTATAGCCTGTTGAACATCCCCATGGTGGTGGTAACCATCAACATATTGGTACTCCTTCAACTGTTCGCCGAGACACTTCAGCTGGACGAAAGGTTGGTCTGATTGCTGCCCGTCGTACTGGCCGAATCAGAGGAGGAAAGAAAAACATCAAGGGAGACAAAGAAACCGACTAAATTGTACATCTTCTCAGTTGCCCAATAAAATTAACTTTAAATTTGATTGTGTGTTGTGTTGCTTGGTGTATATCTCTTTGAAGTCTCTCCCTACTCTGTTGAACTTTATTCTCAGTGTTGATTTACCACCAGTTTTGGTGTGTTAGTGAATCTTAACAGAGATCTCCTGGTTTTTTGTTTTTATATTTCCACATTTCCAGTCTCTACAGATCCCAGTAGTCGTCATGTAGTCAGAGTTGGTGTTATTTTTGCCTACAGCCAATTTTCAATCCTTGTCAAGGCTGGGATCCATGAAGTCCTCCTAAAGGGTCATAGAATTAAATGCATCCCAAGTGTGACAACAGTGGGGCAAGCTGCAGGAGACAGTCTTCTCATGAATCACAATCCCTCTATGAGATGCATGCACAGGGAATCATCAAAGGTTTAGTCTTCAAAACAAATATCCAGTCCAAGATGATTACATCAACCATGATTCTCTGCAAGCGCATCTCATAAAGGGAATAGCCCAATTTCAATATAGAATTTAAAATTCTAATGTGACTCCCAGGCATTGGGTAGTGAGATAAAAGAATAATTGCATCGAGGATGGGTAGTATCGAAAATGAAGACCCAGAGAAGGAAGACCCCCTACGAAAACGAAGACCCCCCATGAAAATGAAGACCCATTACGAAAACAAAGACCCCTACGAAAACGAATTGATGGATCAGTTATCTTTCAATTACACAAAGTCTTGCTTGTAGGAAGTATACTTTTTATCAGGAATGACAATGGTTCATCTAGTAATAAATATTAAGGATTCGAGACCTATTTGAAATTAACTGATCCATCAATTCAGGCTGGGAAGAGTTATGAACACAATCGTTTGTTACAAAAAATTAAGAGTCTTCGTTTTTGTAGTAGGTCCTCGTTTTCTAGGGGTCTTCGTTTTTGTAGGGGGTCTTTGTTTTTGCAGGGGGTCTTCCTTTTCGTAGAGGTTCTTTGGTCTTCGGGTCTTTGTTTTTGGGTTTTTCATTTTCGATACTACCATTGAGGATGGGGGATGAATAATTAATTATTTTTGTTTTATTCCCCTAAGCATGGGAGCCAAGTTAGAACTTACCATATATCGAAATTGGTCTATCGGGAATTTTTTTCGTGATTCTCAGATTTAAGAGTTTCACAATTTTCTTCAAACATGGCTTACAGAACAGTTTTACCATGATCCGCGCATGGGTCACAAATAGGGCTTTCCACAAGTTGCTCGACTGACTCAAGTGTCTTAGGTGAAGAATTTTTAGAAGATTAATATTAATATTGATGTGTAGTCTAACTCCTACATTTTTTGGTTTTAAGGATGGTGCCTACTTTTGTTAGTGCGCACGCGTTCTGCGCATCATGCAAGGCATGGTTAAGTGCCATGCACACATGGGTTGAGATTGATGCAATCAACAACGCTACTAATCCAACTGTAAACATGAACCTGCAGATGACATAGTGCGCACGCAAAACAGGTTCGAGATTCGCAAATGTTTTACTTACTGGGAAGGTGACATGAAAAAATCAGGAGCCCATAACAGGTGTTGTAAATGTCTTTAAAAAAGATCAATAACTTTAAAAACGGAGAAACCTCAGTATTTAATAGGCACTGTCCTTAATTGAGTACAAAGTTATTTAGCAACGCTGGTTACTCCACAAAATCACACAAAAATGCTTTAGGCTTAGAAATCGTATTTTTGTAATTCAATTTGCATATTTTTGCCTTAGACCAAATAAAGGAAGAGGGCAACACAATTTTGTTTTTCTTGAGCAACTTTTTGAGAAATATCGTGTAACTTTTTGGGAAATCTCGAGCAACTTCAGGAAAGCCCTAGTCACAAAAGTGACCTTCCCCCTCCACGATAGGCTGTTGTTTTATTACCTGCCACTGTTTTCTCCTGGGTTATTTCTATCAGTAGCCCTAGGATACGTCTGAAAAGAGCACAAATATCGCCCATGGCCCAAGGTCTGGGGTCGAGTGTGAGGGTCCAGAACGAGGCAGAATGAGCCCAGTACCTTTGGTAGCTTCCCGGTCAACATGGCGGTCCGGTTGTTGCATCCTTCGCGTTGCTCACCGTCACTGTACGATTAAACGGGAGATCTCTCTGTAACATGTCAGTTAGTAAAAGATTACCTTGCCAAAAAGAGGCATGTGCGATTCAGAAGTGCCTTCAAGGTATGACATTGGCGGATTTTAAGGTTTTTGCTCAGATTTGGGAAACAAATCTAAAGCAGACTGCTGCAAACATCTGAAACATTCAATGGATGAATTGCTTACCGCCAATTGATCGAATAATACCTTTTTATTTTTTAACTGTTCAATTGAATAGTTCTTATTTCTTTTAAAAGAATGCAATTATCAAGAAGAGAGATGCCAACATGTGATTGAAGCCATGAAGAAATGCTGCAGTAGAAATTCAGCCATTAACACTGAATTGTGCTTGGGCTTCAAAGTCGAACTTGAGCAGGGAAGAGTGGTGCACAATAATGTGTAGAGACTGGTGCCTAAATACTGCCACTAGACTAGTATGACCTCACGCAAAGCACTTGAAGAACAAACGATTGGGATTATGCTTCATTGCAGCTGAGTGTGCTTGCTACAAAGTACAGAGGATCATTTATAGTTGTCAAATTTTTATTTGACCTTACATGTTTGCCAAAGAGGGAAGGAAGACTTCATATGGAACTTTTCCCAGGGGAAAACATTTTCAATCCCATATATACGTCATCCACTTTTCAGCAAGTCCCCCCACCTCCCCCAGAACTGTCTCTGATTGCATTTTCTGATTCAGATACATTCAACAACAAGTGCACCTTTAGATTTATTTTTGTGGTGAAGAGGACAAATATGCAACATGAGGTTGATTACCAATCGCTGCTCAGGAAAGGAGCCTCTATAAATAGGAACTAGACCAGGACTCTTGAGGGTGACAGAAACCATTCCTACCCTATCTAACCTTAAGCCTGGGAAAATGTAAATCAGAGTGAATCTTTGGGGAAGATTGAACAAGTAAGTGGCAAGTCTTCAACACTGGAAAATACCTGCATTATATACACAGCCTAAAGCAACTTGGAGTTTTGCTTGGATGTCTCTCTAGACAAGATGAGAGCCCACTGTTGGTTACCACTGACATTTGCAATGTTGCCCTAAAAGTTTGCCAATACCAATAATAATCATTTATACTTCTTGGTGGTCTGAGGCACTGTGAAATTAAGGTGTTTTTCAAACGACTACAACTGAAAGACTTAGAGATGAGGGTGGTGAGGGGGGGGGGGCAAGATCATGTTTCATGGAAAATAAATTGGTCCTTTCATGATTCACGTGAAATAAAATCGGCATTTCACGTTTCACGAAAAAAAAAAAAGGAATTTTTTGACATGAACTTACATAACTTATGATCATTTTTGAAAAGTTACGCCCAAAGCACAACCTTGTTAGATGTCTGTATCATCTGTCTACTTCTTGTTCTGCACACAGCAAAAAGAAAACTGAGCAAGAACACGAAGAGGGATGATTGTCCTGTCATGGTCGCACAATATTGTTAATTATGGTCGAAAATAATGGAAGACACAACCAGAATCACGGTTCGCGATGAATGAAATACTTCTTTCTCGTTTCATGGATAATTATTTTGGAAAATCACAGTTCATGACTTTTAATGAAATCACAATTCACAAGAAAAAAAACAAGCCATTTCACATTTCAGGGGAAAAAAATTAGGCCATTCACGAATCACGAAAATAATCTTTACCACCTTCAGAGATGGGTAATGATAATATTGAATTATCATTAAAGACTATAAGACTTGCTTTCTTTTTACAAGAACTTAAAACACAAAAGGAAATATACAACCCTGGGTGGCCAAAATTTGTTGAAGTGAATGTGACCTTATGCTAAACAGTGTATTCAAACTTACAAACCATGAAGCTATTGCTGTCATAATTCCAATAATTTATTGATACTGCATTATGCATTTGATGGATTGTAAGCTTTGAACTAGTGATATAAAAATAAATGATTTACAGCAAGTACAACATGGATTCTTACTTATACACAGCTTTCACCCAGTTAACGTGGGATGAGCTGCCTGAAGCATGCTACAGTAAGTTTAATTAATTATTCAAACTTCACATCCACAGCCAGTTTTGCTGTTATGCTTTTTTCTTGTCATGCCCGAGGGCTAGGAAAAATGAGGGGCTGCTCAAAGTCTAATGTGACACTTCTTCAATCACTTTATTTGATAGTCTTTCATTGAGGAGTATGCGCTATCCTAATTTGTGATTCCATGGTTCCAAAAAATATTGTTGCCTTTCCAGGGACTGAGGCAAGTAAAAGCCAATTTTTTTCTTTTAGGAAAGTAGGAAGTAATACATGAAGCACAAAATACTGTGTTTGACCACAGTTCCAAACACCAAGAAGAGAGTTGAAAACATGACAGCTCAGCGGAGTATTTTTGGCAAGCTTTGAGGTGTTTGCAAATGTGATCAAACATGGTCTTGAGTGTTTGATATATCTTCTCAATCGAACTAAAACTAAGGAGAGAATGGAGAAATAAAATCATAAACTCTATGCTAATTAAGATCAGATATCCAAATACCACCACAGTCATGATTTCCTTTGTTTAAGCTTGATGAATTATTCATGAGTTTGAGAAGCTCAATTGAAATTTTGTAGGCTCAGTTCTGAGAAGATGCCAAACCGTAAAACCTGTTGGGGAACAGGGTACAGATGTTTCTTAAGGTTAAAAGTTCACTGAAATGTATGCTTGGATCACTATACATGTTACCAGAAAAGGAATTCTTAGGATTGTTTAGGTGATTAGTTATAAAAAGCATGATGTTCTGCAGTGTTCCAGATAAGTGAGGGGTCTCAGGTCAAAAACCCAAGGTCAGCTACATGACCCAATAAATAAATAAAAAATATATAATTTATTTTTTATTAATTTGTTGGGTCTAATGATTAGGTGGAAGCAGTGGGAATTGACCCGTTGGAATTCCTTATTGACACCCTGTCTTGAAAACTTATCTGGAACCCCGGATGTCATGCAAATAATTTAAGCTGTGATTAAACAAGGTTGTATTCAGAGTGTTTGAGCATCTCATTTGACATTTTACTCAAAATGCCAAACCAAGAAGAAATCCACCTGCAAATCCTGAAACAGCTGCAGCATTTCGTCTGGCATATAAATAGCCCTGCAAAGAAAAATGTTTCAGATCAGGTAAATTTATTTAAAACCATATTTTGATAGTAAATAAAGCTATTAACATCATTTTCAGTTTTAAGAGGTGTCCACTGGGTTAAAAGTGAACCCTTCCTTAACCCCTGTCATAAAAAATGAAGAGCCCTTCAAAAGTACTGACAGCTGGCAGGAATAACTAGCAACTTATTCTGGGTGAGCTGGCAACTTGGTAGCAAAAAGTGTCTTCTTTTTGTGTGCATTTCCTATATAATTATGCTACTTGCACTAAATTAAATAATAAAAATTGATTATTAAGTGAAATAATTCTCATGTTGACCTTGTTTGCTAGTGCAATAATCCCTTTCTCAACATCTTTCTCATTCTTCTTTATCTTCTTGACTTGCTTTTCAACTTTTTTGGCAACTTTATCCATATCCTTTTCCATTCTTTTCCAGTTGATGTTGATGTAGCCTGCTCTGTGAGCAATCTAAATTTTAAAAGAAAAAAAAAAAAATCTGAGTTTTCTAACTTAACTGTAACTAACATTTTTGGAAAGCAGTGAAAATTAAAACACAGTTTTCTTTTACCTAAGGTTGTCATCCCAATTCACCAGAATCTGGAACTTGCCATCCAGTGGCATATCCAGACCTTGAGCTAAGGGAGGGTTTGCCCTGCCAGCTTTTCTTCCTTCTGTGATTTTTTCCTTTTTTTTTACCCAAAATACGGCGGGTCCACTCCCCCAGGCCCCTCCCCTAGATCAACCACTGAAATCAATACATAACAGAAATAATTCTAGACGCAGCGACAAGTGTGCATATATATTACCATGGTCCAAATCTTGGATCATGGTTGCCATAAGCATTCCTCCCTTGTCTAAAAGGTTCTAATAGTGAATTAAAAAATATATATATTATATATTTATCTTTATTCTGTACCTGAAGCACAAGTATTCCTCCTCCAATAGCCGACAGGGTGAGCTTGCCAACTCTCTTACACACATATGCAGCAAACCTAAGATTGACATCGACAGTCTGAGTATCAGCTTTGAAACAGCACAGAAATCCATATTTCTTGAGACAAAAAGGAGCATTTTACTGTAAAACTCAGAAAACTGTGAACCAGACATATATAATATGAAGTCAACTACACATGAGAAAACTAAACTGCCAACAGCAATGGTAATTAGATTGAAAAGTGAAAAGTGAACTGATCGACATGACACAAGCGTCCCCCACAGGAAGCGAACCCATGACCTCCTGAACACCAGGTGGGCTCTCTATCCACTGAGCTACAAGAACTCATGGAGAGCAAGGTCATCTAACTTAGTTGATCAGTGACAGGTGTCCTGCATACTGCTAGGATCAGCACTGTCAAAGTCATCGTGAGTGCGATAAGTGAATAAAGATGGTGAATTTTATGCTCAGTAATGAAATATAAAAAGTGAACTGATCAACATGACATGTCGTGGGACAAAGAAAAAATCTGAGTCCCTGACAGGAGTCAAACCCATGACTTTGATTATGGAGTGAGCTGACTTTTGGTTGGGGCGAAGTGACCAGGGACGAAATGACCATGGGGCGAAGTGACCAGATACCTCCTGCACACCGGGCGGGTGCTCTATCCACTGAGCTACAAGAACTCATGAAAAGTAAGAACTGAGTACCAGCAAAAAACAAGCAAACCTAGATTTGAGGTTTGCTTGTGTTTCTTGAATTTTATTGTGATTGGTCAGTGCACATGACCTCTATGATTCAAATCAAAGTGTTCACGGTTTTCCGAGTTTCACATTAATAGAATAATTAGTCAAGACAGATATGTTAGAAAATTAATTAATTAGTTAATTATTAAATTCTTCATACCAGCCCGACATTCCCCCAATACTAATTTGTTGAACAACCGGCCTATCAGCCAAATCCATGGCAATGAGCTGTTCAACTAAAGTTCTTGAACCTGGAGTCTCAATTATTTCATAAACATCGCTGTCATCGTCTTCTTGTCCGCCTAGAAATGAGTAAAAAAACAGATACAATCCAATATTTGAGTAAGAGCAAGTCTATCGATATTAAATTGTCGAGTTATCGTCTTACTGTTTACATG